GGGGGGGGGGGGGGGGGGGGGGGGGCGAGGTAAAGGAGTGGGGAGGAAGGAGGAAGTATGAACAAGAAAAGAGAGTAAGATCTTTGGGGTCCTTCCACCCCCATCCTCCAACTCTGCACGCATTAGAGGTAATAGGACTATTCTGTCCCCTGGTGGTCATTTGGAGCCCTTCAAGGATTAGCGATGGTAGCCAGGTGGAGGGGGAAGGGTGGAGATCTGATGAGTGAAGTGGGAAGGTGGAGACGTAGTTACAGAGCAACCCCGGGCATGGGAGAAGTACCTAAAGGAACACAAACCAACACTGGATTTAGAGGCTAGAGAGCCCTGCGTGTAGATCCCTACGTAGTTACTAACTATAGGATCTTGCATAAGTCACTTCATCTCTGAGATTCAATTTCCTATTTTAAGATTCAATTTCCTATTTTATAAAATAGGGCACAACAATCCTTGTGTTACCTAATTTGTGGGTTTGTTTTGAAAAGCAAATAAGATAATGTGTATGTAAGAGAGGTTTATCAGGGAAACCTTATAAATTATGATATCAGCGTCAGCTATTGCTAGAATTATTTTAGCTTTCTGCTTCCTCCTTTGTAAAGAAGGAAGGAAAACACCGAATTTCGAGCAGGAAAGGATCTCAGAAGCTATCTGGTGGGAAGGTAAAGGGAAGAAACAAGCATTTCTATAGCACCTACAATATGCCAGACACTGTGCTAAGCACTAAAACAACAAATTTCTCATTTGATACAACCCTGCTAGGTAGGTGCTATTATCATCTAGTGCGACCCCTCATTTTACAGGAACTGAAACCCAGAAAAGAGAAATGAATTGTTCACACAGGTAATAAGGAGCAGAACCAGGATCGGTATGATGCTTCCATCTTTGTCTTATTCCCCTTACAAGCATGTATGATGAGACTTAATCAAACACCAAGCAATTATTAAGGACCAACTCCGTGCCAGGCACTGAGCTAGATGCTGAAAATACAGTGACAAAAGCAGATAGCCCCTGACCTCAAAGAGCTTCCATTCTTATTCAGGAATTGACATATCACAGAATCACAGAATTTTAGAACTGGGAAAGCTCTCGGAAGCTGTCAGTCAAACCAATGCCTGAAATGACTCTTCTCTATAACATACACAAATAGTAGCTGTCCACAGCCTCCACTCCCAAACGTCCAGGGGGAGGAGGTGGGGAACAACCCATCATCTCTTCAGGCTATTCATTCCCCTTTTGGACAGTTCTAATTGTTAGGAAGATTTTCCTGACCTCTACCCTAAATTGTCTCCTTTACACATTTCATTCCTTGGAATGGCACCTAATTCTTCCCTTGGGGTCAACAAATAACAAATCTAATCTTCCTGGCATTAGACAGCCCTTTATATACTTACATATATCCCAGTAGATAAATAGCCAAAGTATGTAAACAGACAATTCTCAAGGAAAGAAATGATAGCTATATACCATCATATGGAAAAGTTATCCAAATGATAAGAGAAATGCAAATTAAAACAATTCCGAGGTTTCACCTCACACTCATCAGATGGAAAAAGATGATAAATGAGAAAAACGATTAAGGGAATGTAAGAAGACAGGCATACTAATTGATAGAGCTGTCAACTGGTCCAACCATTCTGGAAAAGAACTTGGAACTATAGCCCCAAAGTCACTAAACTGTGTATACTCTTTGACCCACAACACCACTAATGGGAATACACCTCCAAAGAAATCAAAGAAAGGAAATGAATCACATATACAAAAATATTTATAGCAATACTTTTTTGTTACAGCCAAGGACTAGGAAGAAAGGGGGTGCCCATAAATTGGGGAGTGGCTAAACAAATTGTGGTATGTGAATGTAATGGAATATTACTATGCTGTAAGAAACGACAAAAAGAATGGATTCAGAGAAACCCAGAAAAGACTTTTCTAGACTAATGAAGTAGTATGGAACAGTGGATGGATTGCTGGATGTGTAGTTAGCAAGATCTGAATTCAAATTCCACCTCAGACACTTCCAGTTATATGATCTGTTCTCCTTTGTGTATGAAAATGTATATGTTGATAATTTTTTAGTTTATAATAAAATTTTAAAAAAGAAAACTGGATTGGGGAGGGGTTTTAAGACATCACCTTCACCCCCACTCCCACCCAAGTCTTCTCTTCTTAGGACCACTGGTGTGCCATAAATAGAGTATTGTTCAGCAGTCAAGAAAACCTGAGTTCAAATCTAGCCTCAGATACTTATTAGCTGTATGGACCTAGCTGAGTCACTTAACCTCTACCTCAATTTCTTCAACTTTAAAATGGGGATCATAATAGTACCTACCTCTCAGGGTTCTGTAAGGATCAAATGAGATACTGTGTTTAGTACAGTGCCTAGCACATAGTAGGTACCACATATATGCTCATCTCCTTCTTCCCTTCCCCCTCTTCTCCAAGAACATAACCAGTTCCTTCATGCAGTCCTCATATGATATGGACTCAAGGCCTTCACCATTCCAGCTGGCCTCATTCAGATATTTTCCAGATCATTGGTGTCCTTCAGTGAGGTCTGATGTGGCAAAGTACAGTGGGATTATCACTTTTTTTTAATTTCAGGAAGCTATGTCTTCTTAACACAGCCCCAAATCACCTTAGCTTTTTAAATTACTTCATCACAACTATATATTGAACTCAAAATAAACTGAACCCCCCATATCTTTTTCAGAACCCCAGCTGCCTAACTGTGTCTCCCACTTCTTGTACTTATGGAGCTGATTTTTGGTATCCAAGTGCAAAACTTGATTTATCCCTACTGAGTAGCATCTTGTTAGATTCAGCCCAATGCTCTAGCCTGTTGGGATCTGTCTGTCATCCAGTGTGTTAGTTATACCTCTCAATCTCGTATCATCTACAGATATAACAGACATGCCATCTAAGTTATTGTCTGAATTATTGATAAAAATGTTAAACATCATAGGGCCAAGCATACATCCCTGTATTACTCCATTAGAGACCTCCTGTCATGCTGACATTGCACCATTGACAATTCCTCTTTTAGGTTGATCATTCAGGTAGTTATTCATCTGATGGTATCATCATCTAGTCTACATCTCTCCACCTTCACAAGTATACCATGAGATACTTTTTCAGGAGTTTTGCCAAAATCTAGATAAATTATATTTGAGACATTGCCCAGTTTATTAACTGTCAAAAAGGAAATGGCCTAGGGGCAGCTAGGTGGCAGAGTGGATAGAGCACCAACCCTGGAGTCAGGAAGACCTGAGTTCACATCTAGCTTTCAGACATTTACTAGCTGTGTGATTCTGGGCAAGTCACTTAACCCTGATTGTCTCCAATAAAGGAAATAGCCTGACTTACTCCAGCTGAAGACATGCTGGCTTTCTAATCATTGCTTCACTTTCCACATGCCTACCAGCCCCCTTTCCTTTAATAAGAGTCCAGTCATGGGGTTCATTTTAGATGTGTGCTGGTAAATGTTTAACAACCAACAGGGCACATGTTTAAGTTTAATTTGCATTATTCACATTTCTCCATCACTTTTTTTTAAAATCTATACAATCAATGAAAAAAATAAATCAAGACTTAATTTGTAGTAGTGGCCTGTTTCCTAGGAGTAAATGTTCCTACTGAAAATTGACCAAGTTTGAGCTGGTTCCAGCTTACCCGTTGGGTTCATCCCACCAAGAATGTGACACCAATGCTGATATTTGAAGGAGTGAGGGATTCTAAGACGGGAGGTAATAAGGAATTGCATTCTACATGAAGACAGTGTGTCTACAAAGGCACAGAGAAGAGGGAATGAATGTTCTGGAGGAGGAAAAACAAGCATGAAGGGGAAGAATGCAGTGTAAGCCAAGAATGGTAGGTTAGATCAAGGCTGCATAGAGTTTTACATGTCAAACTGAGATGTTTGTATTTTATCCAGAGGTAATTGAGAGCTACTGCATCTTTTTGAGCAGGGATCATAGGGTCATAAAAGGGCAAATAGGTGGCTCAGTGAATAGAGCGCCAGGCCAGGCCTGGAGTCAGGAAGATTCATCTTTGTTAAGTCAAATCTGGCCTTAGATACTTACTAGCTATGTGACCTTGGACAAGTTTGCCTTAGTTTTCTCATCTGGAAAAGGAGCTGAAGAAGGAAATGGCAAACCACTCCAGTATCTTTGCGCCAAGAAAACTCCAAAAAGGGTCAAAAAGAATTGGACGTGGTTCAAATGAATGAATGACAATAACATAGGGTCATAGATTTGGAGTGGGAAGGGTGCTTAGAAGTCACTTAGTCCAATGACTGGGGTAGAGAACCCGTGGCTTTGAGGTTATATATAGCTCTATAGGTTCTCAAGTGCAGCCCTTTGACTGAATCCAAACTTCACAGAACAAATCTCTTTAAAAAAAGGATTTGTTCTGTAAAACTTGGACTCAGT